TTGATATTGTATGTTTTATTCCTTAAAATGATTTTTTAGCCTAGTTTATGGCAATATTTCAACTTATTTCCAGTTTCCGCAGTAGCATTTGTACAAAAACTTAATATTTCGTCGCAATGCAGCACACATGCGACCGGCGCTCTGCATTCGGAACTTCACAGCTTTTTGCATAATTCCATGTATTATATTAATAACGGAATTGTGCATGTTTTTAAAACACATAAAACGATCTTAATTAGAAGGAAAATCACGCGAAAGAACGACTTAGAAAAATATAGACTAAAAAAGGATACTTATAAAAGGATTAATACAACGTTTATCCTTAACAAGTTTGTTCTGAATCAAGAGAAAAGCTTTACCAGAAAATAATTTTTAAAAAACGCTTTTTTATAAAAAATTTAAAATGTTCATGTAATATCTCATTACCCACAAGCAATTTTCAAAAATCAAACAAAATATCCGCAATATGTAATTAATAAAACGTTTTCCCGTAACTAATTGCTCTCGGGACAACCAGTCCTTCCCAGGGTGGGTACATGAGCGCAGAGTCAGTCGTCTCTCCACCCGGAAATTGCAGTCCGCTCGAGTTGGCATCCACAGCGAATTTCGAAATTGCAGTATATTCAATATAAAGTCAGCAATATAAAGTCTTCACCAGCACCGATAACATTTCTCTTGCCAGTAGAGATCGACTCAATAAACAAAGTAATTGATTCGGAGAACCCTGATATTATGGCAGTTTGTTAAGTCCGACGCTTACCACTATTGTAATGGTTCCGGAAAGGTGAATCACGAATCAATGGTTTTGGATTGAAAATTGATAGTCTGATTTAAACTTTTTAGTAAATAATCTAAACTAATTAGGTAATTTTATTTACATACATACGCAATTTAAAATATAAAATCTGTAATCAGGAGGCGTCTATTAATCACGTGATACTTTCAGGAAGAGGGTGGTTTGACAAAAAATTACGAAAAATCACGTGGGAGAACGAGACGTTTAGTACGATATCACGTGTATTTACTTTTACCTAAATTTTCGAAAAAAATACGATTTTCTCGTAAATTCGAAAAATTCGTTAGACAAATTTTACGAGAAAAAATACACGTGATATTCTGTAGTAGAGGAGAAATAATTTTAAATATCACGACGTATCACCAAGGGGTAAGGGGGGTCCTAAAATTGTTAGTAAAATAGTGTTATTAAAAAATTCCAAGTATAATTTTGAAGAAACAAATGCATCAATGTGAATCTTTGACTTCAAAAAGTCAGATACTAGTAAATTGTCACGAGTTGGCACATGATGTAGATTAAACATAAATTTTAAAAGTTGTCATATTTACTTCATAAAACAATATTTACAAAACTAAATACCGGGAATTTCATATTATGAGTGTCACTGAATGCATCATATATTTTTAACAGAAGTTACATTAAACATAATAACGAAATGTGAACTTTCATATGGGATTAAAAAATATTTTAATATAATTTTAAAACAGGTTCGTGTAAAAGCTTTAAGCAAAATACGCGTATAGAGGACAAATATTTATATAGAAAATAAAATTGGTGCTTAAATAAAAATTCACGCTAAAACTATTTAAGTTAAATCTATTTTCTATTAAAACTATTATTCAAATAATATCTCAATTTATATTTCATCCAGACTCTTAATAGAGTTACATTCAGATGTGATTAACGTAATCAAACTTTTGGTAAAGTTGAAGCCAGGGATTAGCAACTTCGAATGATTTCAGATTACTCTGTAATAATTAATGGGATCATAAGCTCAGATAATGTGGTTGGTTTTAGAAAGTGGATATTTATATAAATTTGTGAACTTTGACACATTCGGAACGAGATAAAATGCTTAATTAAAATAATTCGAATTGGGAAAAGATTTATGATGAATAATATGTTGGCTTCATGGGAAGGGAGATACCAGATTGAATTTATCAAGAAAATAATAATGTTTAAAATTTATAGACTCGTGCAAAATAATTTTATGATCATTAAAATATTTGCAAGGTTAATTTTGTACTAATTTTTTGGACTATATGAGGACAGTTGGATTTATTATTCTACTTTCTTGTAACTATTTCAAAGATAGACTTGAATTATTTTGAAAACTATGAATGCTTTAGTAGATCTTAATTACATCCATTTTATTGTAGTGAAATAATTAATCCAATAGTTTATTAAAAAAATATCCCCATGGAACTCCAATTTCCATCCTCCCATGCATCAATGTAATATTTCTTAAAGCCAAAGTTCATTTTGATTTTAATAACGTTCGTATTATGCATGCACAAATATTATGCGTCTGTTCAGCATATACATTACAAGTTAGTCTCAAAATTTTATCAAAGCATTTGAATATCCAGAATATATATCAGTTCCAAAATTTGCATAGCTATATCGAAAAGCAGACGCGCGAGGTGCCCCAAAACTTATATGGACGAGACAAAGCCACCACTATAGGAATATTTACTAACTTTCCACATTCATCCAACAATAAATGAATAGAAAATTAATAGATTACTAGGTAGACAGACGGTACAAAATGCTAAACTATTAAAAACCTATTAAAAGTGCTGTTCAATGAACAAACAAGCGAACTCCAGATATAAGATGTTGGGTGGTCTAGTCAAGATTAACTAATATCATCCTAGATATCTGTTCGGACGTATTTTTGTTTTATTATATTGGCCATGAAGGTGACAACCTTCAGGGCATTAAGCTTTGCACGAAATGGTTGCTACCCCTGGTAGAGGGGGTAGCGGAGTGTTTTAATTGAACTAGTTGTTCACTTCTAAAAGTAAAGTCCCCGAAACAACATGTCTAATAAATAATAAATAAATATATCTTCTTTCATCATAACTTAGTAACAAATCAGCGATTGTAATTAGAACTGCAAAAAATACATAATATACTAACAAATCAGTGTTTAATACAGTCCACATCTACAAGGGTTAAATTATAACCCAACAACCTGAATTATCAAAGAAGAGTTTTAATAAATTTCATAACTACGTAAGCACATAAGTACAATATCATTTCACAAGTCTTTCAATATACTCATAAACAATTTATCATTTTTATTAACATTATTTCCATTTCACAAATTGAATAAGCACGTTAGTAATTAAAATTTCAACTCAGCATTATTTCAAACTTGAATTTTAAACTAGTAAATTAAATTGTTAATAATATTCCTATTCCAAAAACCGACCTTTTCATTAAATATTCTCCATGTAAAATTATTTGCATTCATATGAGTTCATAAACTATAAACATGATAATGGCCATTATGATACGCTTTCAATTTTAAACTTATAATTGAAAAATGTTAACTCCACGAACTTTAAAATAGTTTAAACGTAATATAATATATAACTTTAATTTTCATGTATTTTAATTAAATAGTCGACAGGGAAAATGTTAAGTATGCATTCTAAATTTTATGAATGTAGAATGTCAAGTATAAAATCTATTGTGTGGAAAATAAATCAGATATATGTATATATATGTATATATATATATATATATATATATACTAGTTAATATTGTCTTAGCCTATATGTGAATGGAAATGTTTGGCAAATGACAGTCTTCATTTGTTTTTAATGTCAAACAATGTCTCAAAAATTTTCAATGTCAATCAATGATAAGCAGTTTTTTGTAATTTTTTCCATTTATTTCTACAATCTAAATATAATTCTACGAATCAAAAAATCCTAGGAATTTCCCTTAACAAACTTCAGAAAGATTTATGAAAATCCGAATAATCATTTAGGAGGAATAACCATTCATACCCCATTACAGAAGAATTTTATATATAAGATATATATATATATATATATATATATATATATATATATATGTATATATATACATATTCATCATATGTCGTAATAAATTAGGCATTTATTCCACGGTAAACAATCCCTAAAAAAATTATTATCCTATATTAATAAGCTCATAGACTAAAATAATAAATTTATATTCCGATTGATTATTAATATATGTCTAATAAAAAATTATTACAGAAACGAATATTTTTAAATTGATTCTACTTAATTAGTATATCTACAAATGCATAGATATCTAAATCTTTGCCATTTATTTGTCAAATATGAAATATCAAAATATTAATTGTATTGGATTATTACTATATAAATTATTTATTTTAACTATGAGCAGATGATAAAAAAAATTCCAATAAAATCAAAAATGATTAAAATTGCATATAGAAGAGATCATAAATTTGAAGTTATGTAATTCAATTCAATTAAGAAAATTCAAACAAATCTGGAAGTAGATAAATATAATGTGAATATCTGAATAATTATATGGTGTAGATATAATATAATTGATATAATTTCTATTAGATATTTATTAAAAATTATTTATTATAAAAATATGTAAAGTTTCAAAATTTATTTAAATAAACTGCGTTATCAAAAATGCTCAAAAATGACAAAGTCGTTGGTTACTATTTTAAGATCGATGTAAAAGCTAGCAAGGTTGTATTTGTCAAGATTACGATTCAAATAATGCAATTAATATGCAAAATATTTTAGCAAAGTAACTGCCTGAAGCGATAAATTTATTATTTCAATTATTTCATCAAAAGGTGTAGAATAAAAGCAGTATTACTTGACTCTATTTGTGCCATGAAAATTGAACTATAGTGCTTCATTATTATATCCGTTCTCGTCCTAGACGTATGTGGGATATAAATTAAGTTCTATAAACGTATAAAATCAAGATAGATAGAGACTCAAAGTACATATTTGTTTTAAAATTAAATCGACTCCAATAATGCTATCAGCATACAAACACGAGTAGAGGAGTCGAGGAGTCGAGTTCTCTCTATATTTTCCCAACGGCAGAAATCTACGCCCGGCGAGTGAGTACATAAATTCAAATAACGTACTCTCACTATATGCACTTTATTCAATAAATGAAACGATATATAATCTCAATTTACACCGACCTGATATAGTCTCCTGATTTTCTGCTTCCAGCTCCTGTTGAATTATTGCCTGTAGATTATACTGGCACTCCTGAAATAATAAATCACGAAATTCTTATTTCATATAACACACCACAAATCATCTCGGCCGAACGAGCAAACACTGGCTTAGATGTTTTTTATATAATGTACTGGGTAAATGAGTTTACAAATAACAAGAATATTAGATAAAAATATGGTACTAAAAAAGTACAAATTCTGTACTAAAACCTAAGTGGGTACACTAATCAATTGTAATTTTTATGCTTAATTCTTATCAAATATCACTTGTCATAATTATGTTTTTTTTATTGAAGTAAATCTTCTTTAGGCGCAACTAGGGTGTAAATCCGTACAAACGCAACGGAAATGCGTTACGCCATTCGCTCTCGATGAAATCATTTCTATACGGATCGATTGTGATTAGTAGTCGTGCATGTGAATAGAGATTGTTGTATGCGTACCGATATCAAGAAAATCGGCATAGATAAATAAACATTTTAAAGTTACATCGTAGAACTAATATTGAGTTAATGAAAAAATGCCTGAAGTAGCAGAATATTTTACCCTGTTCCTTGAAAATGATAAAACAAATTAATCATTTGTGACGTGTACTAAACATATGTTTATTGATTAGAAATTATTTATATATTATTCGTAGTTTCTATAAATCTTTGAAGTTATTAAAATGGAAAATATTTTTTAAGCAAAACAGATATTACAGCTGCTCAAAGAATAAGATTATATCGGCAGCGAAAAAGTAAAAAAAATACAAGCAGTTAATAAATGTATGTTAATTATAATTACATGAAGTTCTTCAAACACAATTATTACATGATGAGTGAAATTATGAAAACAATATTTGTTTAGGCGTTGTTTAACATAATTCACTGTGTGAACAAATATTAAAAAATTTATAAATCAGCAATTACTTCATTTCTCTAATGAAGGTTCATTTCTAAATGCTAATTACAATGACAAACCGATCATGTCATATCTGAAGTATGACTTAAATTACATTATTGTTTTTAAATATTATACATATTTTTAATGCTATTACAAATGTATAATTTATTATTATATAAATGTGTATAATGGTTGACACTAATAAATATGTGCTTCACGAGTGTTAAATGGCATCTTGTACAGTAGCAAATAAGTTTTACTTCAATCGCGTATGAACTTTACGCGCACTTTTTTTTTACTTTATGTAGCAAACACTTTTGTAATTTGATGTCCAAAAATGTTTTGAATGACGTACATTAATCTACAATTTCGGTCCTAACTAATTTATAAATTGACACTGACACTAAAAAATTCAGTTTTGGGAGCATTCATGATTTTTTGGGGTATGTAGAAATATTTCTATTATAGCTTCATAAAATGTTAAAAATACTATTTTCTCCAAGACATTATACATTCTAAATTATTTCTCTCACACTTTCTTCTACCTTGGGGTAGTCTAAATCTATATATAGAAAACGACCCCACAGAGTCGTTTAATATTGAATTTCCTTACAGTTGTTCCTAGTTCTAGCTGAAAATTTAATGAGCTACTTTCGTAACATACATTTTGCTTATAAATAGAAAAAATACTTATTTCCAAAAAAGTAATATATTATTTAATAAGTAAGAATACCATATAATAGGTAGATATTCTATTTCCAAAACCAGATGGAGAATTCAAGTTTTGAAAACATAATTCAGGGACGATACCGATCGTTCACATTATAAATCTAAATTACATACACGAAATTCAATTTGGTTTAGTCGCAAAGCTCTGAGGAAATTTTAGCTTTCATTTCTTCAAGTCTTTTGGAATCCGTAGAGGTTATTATATACGTCTTATATATGCCGTCTCATTTATAATGCTTACTTACAATAAAAAATACGCCAAGGAAATGAAAAATAAACCTTAGAAAATAACCGGCCGACGAGGAAAATCTGAATAATTTTTATACGAGTGGCCGAAGTGATACTTGATATCGAAAGCTTTTGTAAAATTGTACGATTCGGAATATTTGCACAAGGATAAAAAATACGACGATATTAGGGTAGTGAAAATATTGTTTCAGAATATACGGAAAAGGGAATTTTATTAGAATTCTGGTCTTTGATTTGTAAGTTGAAGTCGGTGGAAGGTCATTTGTTTTTCTTTTTTGCCATCTCTATCGTGACGCCAATGGCCTCTGATATAAACCCAATTTTGGTGTCTATATTTAGTTAATATATAAATTAATTTTTTACCTTGTTGTCCCTGTAGTACCATCTCGTAGGGTCATCTGTACACAATAGAGAAGGTCTAAATTCACACACACACTTTCTTTCAACAATTCCACAGCCGCCTTGGATCAATTGCATATGAGAGCAATTTTTGTTCGAATTGCGAACCTCACTAGGTAACCCTGGAAAAGAAATATAATATTTAATAATAGGAAAAATTAGTATTAATTATTAAATTATTAAGAATTTTTTTGGAAAATAGTTATTAAAAAATATAGAGATTTTCCTATTTCACTATCTATATTTTACTTTACCATCTATTTTATTAATTATAAAATATTTAACACCTGTATCAAGTTTTATTTTTATTAGAAGAAATATCGATAAGCAACTTGATCAATTACAATTCCTTTATAAACTGGTAATATTTACCCATTACCTGCTCCTCTATCTATTTCCTACTTTTCCATCTATTTTAATAATTATAAAATATTCAGCACCTGTATCAAGTTGTATATTTATTCAGAGGGAGTTTCTCGGGACACGTGTTAATAAAAAGCGCTTCTATTTTAAGTCGGGTCAAAGGCACGACAGCCCAGGTCAAATAAGTTTACCGGGGGAAAGAAGTTTGTAAGCAAAAAGTTTGTACCAAAACATGGAACGAAATATAGAAATTGCAACTTTTAACAGGGAAAAATACACACATCCAAAATCCACAACAATTCAATTTTATAATATCAATATTTTTTATTACCCATAAATATTAAAAATATTTCATTACCCTCAAAGGGTAAAAGTATATTCCCATTATGAAATTAAATTGCAAGGCTATAAATTTTTATTTAACAACACAGAAGCTTTCAAATTGCCCATTAAATCGTACATAATACTAAAGAAGATCAGCGAATAAATCTCTTTAACAGGATCATAATTCAGAAATAAGATGATTAATAATATGATCGTAACATTTCCATACAGCAGTTTTTTATTTGATGTAAAAACACGATTTAGGTATTTTCTGCTCAACGAGATATCTTAATTACCTAGAGTCAGTGTTATTCAAACTGTCTTATAAAAATTCATAAAATATTGCCAAGTAAATTTCTCTATTGTTTAATTGAATCACTTTCCGTAGACTAATAGTGTTTTATGAGAATTATTAGACTATGAGCTTGAGCAGAAACTTTGGGAATATTTTTACGTTTCAAAGGTTCCCGAATACTTAACAAAAAATGATCTTTGTGTGTGTATGTATGTTTGGATACAAGTTTTCGTCGACGATTTTGGGAACACGGATCAACCGATTTGAATGATTCATAAAGCATTCAACTTGTATTGACGTGCTGATTAGTTTTTGGCCGGCTGTTTCCGAGATACTGAGCAAAAGGTGAAAAAATAGCAGTTTGAGACACGGGAGCATCCGATTAGAATGATTCCAACAACATTTCACTTGTATCGCCAGAGTAAAAAATTGATTATATTTTTGCGAAAGCAGGTTTAGCGATTTTGGAAGTACAAAAAAGGTAAAGAATTACCATTTGGTTGTTTGAATTACATCATTATAATTTATCATTATCGATTCAAATATATGTAGAAATATTGATACATGCATGACTGGTGGACAGGTAGACAAGTAGACAAATAAGAACATCGATAGATAGATAGGTAGACAGGTTGACAACGAGACAGGTCGGCAAACATGTAGATAGATAGAAAAGTATATAGATAGACAAGTAGAAAGGTAGAAAAGTAGACAAGTAGACAGGAAAACTGGCGGACATATAGGCAAGTACAGAAAGGTAAAAGTAGACAAGTAGATACTTAGACAAGCCTATTAGAAAGGTCGATCATATACAATTCAAATATGTATTCATTGAAGCAATTATTTATATTTATCGGGAAGTACATGTAACTTACACCTAGTTAAATTTAATTCTATGTTGAAATCAATCATGTGGAATTTCCTAATCCTTCAAAAGACAAAGCACTTAAATCATCAAAAATATGTCTATTAATTCCTCCTCCGCCTACATTGAGCATTCCTGACTCCGATATTTCGCAAGTAAAGGCAGTTACATCAGAATCTAATACAATGCGCGGCTTGTGCAAGCCAAGTATAAAAGAGGTCTTCTCGTTGTTTCTAATTAAGTACGCTCTTTGGCTTCGTTTTCATTAATTAGTTCAATTATAATACCACCAATACCTACAACAGTTCCATGAACGAGGATAGCAGATAAAAATTTCCTCTCTTTATAAAATTAGATACACAATTAAAATTTATGTACGTTGTATGAACCGTTTCAGAGTTCGCAATTTTGCTGAAATTGCGAGAGTTGGAATATATTGTGTACATAGAATGGAAACGTAGATTTTTTAATTAAAGACGAAAAATGTAACAATTAAAAGTATGAGTAAAGTATAAACAAACAGAAATAAGCCGATTCATGCATTTTATATTAACAACTCGAGATTCAAATTTAGCAAAATAAGAGCTCAGAATCCCTAACCTTATTTACAGACCATGGTAATATATTTATAGGAAACACTAAATGTGTTTTTACCTATATTTTATAATTGTACTACTTCTCATACCGGTCTAATCATTTAAAAGGATCGTTTTAATCATCAACGCTAGCAAAAAACAAAGTTTCATCAAAATCTCATAAAAGTACATAAGGAAAACCTAAGGCTCTCCTTGTAAGTTACATGCACCCAATTGAAACCTGTTTTGCATAATTGCAATGATGTTGCAATTACATTACATTACATATTTATTGAAAAACTTCTTTAGGCGCGACTAGGGTGTAAATCCGTACAAATGCAACGGAATTGCGTTACGGCAGATGAGATAAGATAAGAGTCGAGTGCCAATGATACGTCATTCGCTCTCGATGATATCATTTCTATACGGGTCGCGTATGTGAATAGAGATCTGTCGTTGTATGCGTACCGGCGTCAACGTTGCATACGTACCGATATCAATAAGGAAATCGGCATAGATAAATAAATATTTTAAAGTTACATCGTAGTACAAATCTTGATTTAATAAAAAATGCCTGAATCAGAAAAATATTTTACCCTGTTTCTTAAAAATTATTACTATATTATTCGTAGTTTCTATAAATCTTTGAAGTTATTAAAATGGTAAAATATTTTTTTCGGCAAGACAGATATTACAGCTGTACGTGTAAGATTATATCACGAAAAAGTAAAAAAAATACAAGCAGTCAATGAATGTATGTTAATTTTAATTACATGAAGTCCTTCAAACACAATTACATGATGAGTGAAGTTGCAAAAACCATATTTGTTTAGGCGTTTTTTAACATTATCCACTGTGTGAAAGAATATTATAGAAGTTATTAATCAGCAAGGACTTCATTTCACGAATGAAGGTTCATTTCTAAATGCTATTAATTACAATGACAAACTGATCATGTCATATTTAAAGAGTGACTTTAATTACATTATTGTTTTTAAATATTAAACATATTTTTAATGCTATTATAAATATATAATTTATAATTTATTAATATATAAATGTGTATAATGGTTGACACCAATTAATGTGTGCATCACGAGTGCTACCATATTACTAATAAACATTATTCAAATACATCATGTGTTTATTTTTACTTAAATGCCATTTTGTACAATAGCAAATAAGTTTTACTTCACTAATTGTACCTCTTAATGCCACTTTTAGTTAATAAATATTTGACAGCAAATAACTGTTGGTAGCTACAAAATCTACTTGGATCTTCATATCTAACCAATCAATCCCATCAACAAAAAGCAGCACCGCAGTTTAAGCAGACTCTTCTATTCTTTTTCCTCTGAAGTATATAATTCCCCAACGAAAATATTCAATACATGATAACACTTTATATATTTGCGCAATTGATTCAGATGGAACATTTTATTCGCAATGTTCGAATACGAAACAATAAGCTCCAGCAATATAACGCCCTGCACGGAAGAAGAAAATATATTTTTGACAGTTATTTGGTCTCATATTTTATTTAGTTACATTAAGATTTTTTTTTCTCTATAGGGTACGAGTATTGGCAACTTGGATTGTGGCATCGCTGCACAAATGCGAAAAGAAGCTCTATATGCTTTTGGAAATTGGATATTTTCCGCAACGTACAGTGGGGTAGACACTATAGATATAGAAACAGAATTGCGATTTTTCGAAAAGTTAGCAATATTTGTGCACTTATTTATATATTTACATTTCCGTGCATATTTACACTTTATTAGTTGAAAAAAATCATATTTCACAACCGCACAAAGTCAATAAATAAGTTAGACAAGGAGAACTTATGATTTATTCATTTGGGATTTTGATGAAACTTTGGGAGCAAAATTAACTACTATAAAAATTCGAACCGCTGAACTACACTGGCTACTGGGGCTCAAGTCAATTCTATCCATTGACAATAAACTTCCGATTTACACGGTAGCAATAAAACCAATATGGACTTATGGCATAGAATTGTGGGACTGTGCGAGCAAATCCAACACAGTGCTAATGTGATGTGCCCAATCAAAACTATTAAGATAGATTACTGATGCTCCGTGGTTTGTTAGCAATAAAACATTATACAACGATCTTCATATTGAATTTATAAACAGATTAAAAAAATCAACAGTGTCAAACATTTTCATAAACTAGAACATCATACAAACTCTATAGTCACTCAGCTTCTTGAGACACCAACTTCAAGAAGACTGAAGAAGAAGCTGCCCAAAGATAATATGGAGGACCCTTAGAACTATCATAACTTTATATGAACAGAATAGTAAAATCACTTATTAGAGTGATTCTCTAAATACCAATGTAATATTTATCAGATTAATTTATATACGTATTTGTAAGTGTGGGTGTATAAGTGCGAGTGAATGACATAAGCCAAATAGCACATAGAATTGTCATTCTGATTGCTATTGAACATAAAATTTAAAAAAAATATTTCACAACCGCACAAAGTCAATAAATAAGATTGACAAGGAGAACTGATTTATTCGTTTAGGATTTTGATGAAACTTTGCATGTTAATAGAGTTGATAGTCAACACAAACCGCACAAAATATTGAAGTTCTAAAAGAAAGAGTTTAATTATAAAAAAATCATAAAAGTTCAATAAAAACAACCTGTGCCTGCTGCCAATACGCCTAG